TCTTGCTGAGCTGTGCATCGTGTAGGGCTGCTGCAATGCTGTGGGACTCAGGGATGGAGGTTACTTCTGCAGCAAAGGCAGCATGCCCTGTGGCAGCATCTATCCTTTGTCCCCTACGGATCTGAGAGGCTCAGCCTCTGCAGGACCATGGAGTGTCCTGGGAGTTATGAGGTGCTGGGGAACAGTGCCATTAGTGACAACCAGATGACCCTGCTGGCTGCTGTGACCTTGTAGACAAGGAGGGGCATTCTGCAGGGTGAGTTTGTTCCCAGCTCTGGTGCAGACCCCTTTCCCACAGCCTGGAGGTGATCTGTTCTCTCTTGTGGCAAGGACAGCTCCCCCTGTCCCCTTTGCTCCAGATTCTGAAACCTCCAACCCATTAAACTTCACAAGTGTACAGGCCCAGCCTTCCCAGTGGGGAGAAACCTTATCTGGCAGCCAAGCAGTCGGGGAGGGATCTAATGCCTGTGCACAGCAAACCTGAATTTGCAGCATTGCATCAAGATAATTGCACTGTTCCGCCCTCAGGCTGAGGGATGGTGCTCCCCAAAGGCAGAATGTGTGCTGGCTGTGCTGCAGGAAGCTCTTGCCACTCCTAGTCCTTGTTGTACCCCATAGAAAGGATGACAGGCAGGTTGTGGCAATGCCAGCTGCCCTTGTGACATGGTGAGAGTGCCAGGAAGGGACTTCTGACTCCCATTTGTCTCCCTTGTCAGCTGCTGCAGGCATGATTTTGAAAAGTCTGGTGAGCTCCTTGGCTGCATCTGCAGACCCAGCTCTCCCACTCCAGACACTCTGTGATGCTCCCTCTGGAGCCAGCAGGGACTTCTACAGGGAGCTTTCAGAGCTTCCTCACAGTTGCTGGAGGGAGGTTTGCATCTGAGCAAGCTCCTCTGGACCTCTGGTAGCTGCATGTGTGAGACAGGACACAGGATTGGGATGAGGCAGAAGCACCCCTGTGCCTGTCTGAGCTGGAGATTCTTCCACTGGTAAATCCAGCAGAACAGCCTCCTCCTGAGGGGCAGGTTTCCAGTAATAAGATCTGGAGAGAGGCCCAGAAATGCCACCTCAGCCCATGTAAATATAATTCCCTTCATCCTGATTATGTCCATCCTGAAGGTATGTCACCTGGGCTCTTCAGTAATTCACTAGTTTTTGTATGTGCATTGTAAGAATTAGGAGCAGAGGTTAATTGGCCAAGCTGTTGATCAGTCTTGCACTTTTTAGACAATTGCTTGTTTCATGTCATGGAGCAGTTTCCTGCTTTCCTGTACTTCACAGAGCTTTGCATGAGCAAGAGAAACGTCAAAGTCCAGCCAGGAAAGAAGCTTGTAGAAGTTGTGGGGTTTATGGCTTGGCCCTGCTTTGGCAGCTTTGTCCTCCTGCCCAGAGCTTGGCTGGACTGTCGGTGGGATCTGTCTGGCAGAGCAGACATCCTCTGTCCCTGCAGAAAGCAGCAAGTGCTGCAGCACTGCTGGCTCTATGGGGAGGGTTTACAGTGAGCCCTCCAAGACAAATGTGCTGCTGAGAAATTTAGGTCTGGGCAGTGCTCGTCTCTGTTTCAAGCCAGAGCTGGCCAGGGCTGCAGGAGCCCCTTGCAGAGCAGATCGTGGCTCTGGATGCACACTGGCTCTCCTGGTTTGTAATGTCCTGTTGTTGGATGGAGGGTGCCCATGGGAGGGGGCTCATTATCTCTAGAACAGCTAATAAGGAACAAGTGAAGATCAGCACAATATTGGTATAGATGAAACAGCATTCAGTCCCCTGCCCAAGAGTGGCATCTCTGAGCTGCAGTGCCAGGCATTCCAGGGGCTGCCAGCCAAGGAGAAAGAGGAGCTGCTCATGGCTGTAGACACCTCTGAATTTCAGACAACTGCGTGGACTTTATTTTTAAGCTGTTTTTTTGGCTTGCTCCAGTTTTCCTTCTTTAATCATGAGCAGATGCACATAGGTCCTGTTTGTTGCAGACCTGGGTGCCAAGTGGGAGAATGACTCATGCAGTAGAGGAAAGCTGAATCTGCAGACTCACCAGAGTTGGGCGTGTGTGTGTGTGTGTGTGTTCGGAAGTGCCAGACTGTGAGTCTCTGGAGTGTCCTGCTGGAGTATATGAAAGGTGCTCAGAAGAGCTAGAGTTGAAGGCACTGAGGCTTTTATGTTTTGTTGTTGGTTTTTTTGTTTGTTTATTATTTTTTTTAATTATTGCATGCAATGAAAAAGCAATAGATGCAAAAACTAGAAGACTAATAATCACCCAAAAAGAATTCCCTGATTCAGTAGAGTCACCTCCAGAGCAAGCTGGGGATTGCCTTGTCTGGGAGCAATGCAACTCTCCTGCCCCACAGGGCAGCACTGACCATGGGTCCCCCCCCATCAGTGTCCTGGGGTGGGCAGAAGCTGCTGGTGCCACAGCTGGGAGTGCTGCTCTGAGCTGAGTGGAGGTGCCAGGGGCGACTCCTGCTCTTTGGAGTTGGAGCAAAAAGTTAATGAATGTGAAGCAAATTTTGATCTCATTAAGAAGATAAGGTTGTTTGCCTCATGCTTCCCTTCCCTCGGCTTCTCCCACCAGCATGGGGATCTTTCCTTTTGTGATCACAAGTGGTACGAGTGTGATTCTGGGCACGAGGATGGGACAGAGGTGGTCTTGTGGGATAATGGGGGGCTGCACCAGCGATGCTGGCTGTCTGCCAAGGGGCTGGCTTGCTGCTGAGGAGCAGCAGGTTGCTATGATACAGTTTGCTGTGGCAATGTCTGTGCTGAACGAGCCAAAACCACCTCTACAAAAGGAGCATTCCTTGGCTGGGAGGGGGTAGATTTATCTGAAGTGTTTATGTAAAACAGAGAAGCCGAAGGGAGAGGATGTGTGTGGGAACGCTTTCCTCCAGTGCCAGGGCCCCTGTCTGGAGGCAGACACCCCTGTGTGCATGGGGGAGAGGGCACGGCTCAGATAAAGGACCTGACTCATTCAAGCATGTGGATCAGCGCTGGCTTTCCCATCTCATCCCCTCAGCCCACACCAAGCACATGACTGAAATCCGCATTCAAAGGGGAGCTCAGCACTCCTGCGCTTGGTGCTGCCTGTCAGAGCTGCTCGTGCCCGGCGGGACCGGGTCATCTCGGGGCACCAGAGGGAGCAGCGCATGGCACCGGCTCTGCCAGCTGTGACCTGCAGCAGCCTGAGCCTGCGGCCAGGTCAGAAAGCCCTCCGTGCCACCCCGTGCGGCATCCCCGTCCCCAGAGCTGTCCGAGGTGCCGCAGGGACTGGCTGCTTTCCATCGGGGAGCGTGACTTTCCCTCTAGGAAGAGGGCTGGGCTCTGCAGAGATCAGGGTCCGTTTCTGCTGTGCTGATCGCAACTGCTTCCTTCCCGATGACTTGGCAGGGACAGAGACACATCTCTCCAGGACCGGAGCAGGGGGGGCAGGTGCTTTTGCTCCTGTGGGCTGGCCATAAGAGCTAGAGATACCTGTAGCCAATTTTGCTGGGAATCCTATTGCAGATTTAATCCAGGGCATCTGCCTCTGGCTGTGTGGGAATGGTGGGGGCTGTGCTGCTCAGAGCCCCCGAGCTCTGCTGTTGGTGGCTGCTGCTGGTGCTGTGCTCTGAGCCAGTGGCAAGGGGAGAGTGAGTGGCCAGTCTCTGGCACTGGGCAGGGTCTGGGAAGATTCCACATAGCCCTCAGCCCGCCCCGTGTGGGCTCTGGGCAGAGGCAGGAGTGGTCATAGCTGTGCTCCCCAGGCTGCGAAGGGATTTGGGTGTTTGCAGAGCACCGGCTGTGCAGCGCTGTGCAAGGGGGCTGTTGTAGTCCCCCCTGTGCAGGACCAAGGGGCAGAGCTCCTGTGCAGAATCAGCCCATTCTCCTCCCACGCAGATTCCCATTGTCCCGGAAACATAAGCCACCATCATCCATAATTCATCAGGTGCTGGACTCCGTCAGGGAGCCGCCCGACACCCGGGCTGGGCGCTCCACCCTCCCCTCGGTGTGGGAAAATGCTGGGTCTGGGCATCCTGAGGGGCTGCGGCAGGAAGCGCATCCTGCTCCCTCGGCCTCGGGTGGGCGATCCTGCTTTGGGAGGAAGCAGATTCAGCAAGGACTCTGGTGTCTCTGCTGACCCTTTTCATAAACAAACAACTGCTGCTCATCCCTCCGGGAAGTTTAAGCCATTGCAAAGACAAATATGAAACCGAAACAGTGTTTCTAAGGAGCAGAGGGCAATCGGCTGCATTGAGCTGATTGCTCCATGGCTGTTTGCTGAGGCATCTGCACTCACCGACAGAATGCACTGCGAATAACACCCCTATGGCACAACGACTTTAATGCCTGAAATTTGCACTGAAGGTGTGTGCAGGCGCATGTGTGTGCAGTAGAAGGTGTGCAGGATTCAGGCTGGGCTCTCTGCCTGCTCACCGAATTCCAGCAGAACGCAGAATCATCCCCTTCCATTTATGGACTCTTCACCAAATCCTGTCACTTCTTTTATATATCAAAAAGAAGCTGTCTGGCTTTTTCCAGCACAAATCCAGAGAGAAAGGCAATTCATTTTTACCTGTCTTAAATTCTCATAATCTACGTGAGCAGGCTCTCCTGTATAAAGATAGCAAGAGAGGATAAAAAATAGCAGCAGCATTTCCTGTCCTCTCTCAGCTGCACCTTTCCACTGTTAGTGGTGCAGCACTGGCATGATAAGTGTTGGAATCCAGGAGTGAGTGGTGAGTAAGGTGTGTCCCGAGCTCCTTCCTGTGTGAGCAACATCCCCCGGCAGTGCAGCTCCACACAGCCTTGCCAGATGCTCACTAGGCTGGGAGAGGGATGCAAAACTTGCTTTTTCTCTCTGTAAAGAGCTAAATACAAGCACACAAGGACAAACCCTCTGACTTCCGTGCCTAAATAAAGGAACCAAATCCTCTGCGAATCAAACTCCTCTAAACCTTATGATGTCTGCCACTGGTCTAAAAGTTGGGTTAACATCCTGCTCACCCCACTCCTCCCGCTCCTCTCCGCAGGCTCAGCGTACTATGACAACGTCCGTCCCCTGGCCTACCCCGACTCGGATGCTGTGCTCATCTGCTTCGACATTAGCCGCCCAGAGACCCTGGACAGTGTGCTGAAGAAGGTGAGTGCCCCGTGCCCTCTGGCCAGTGAGTGCCCTGTGCCCCTGTGCCCTCTGCAGCAGCTCGTGGAGCCACCCCGGGGTCCCTGCTCCCCATCAAGGCTCAAAGCTCTGGCCCTGTGCCCAAGCCTTGGCTGGAGTCTGTGTGCTCAGAGGAGGATGGTCAGCTGCTGCTGCTGCCACCATCTCTACATGATCTGTGCAGAATGCAAGATATTTCCATTTGAAAGGAGCCCAGTGAATGGTGAAGCTCATGGTGGCTTGCAGCATGTGTGTGAGGTCTGTCTGTATTCACACATACAAATGTGGGGACAGAGAGAAATGTAGGGCATTTGTTCTGTTTTTTTCATGAAGACCTTGGAAGGTGTTTTGGATCTTGTCACCACCAGTGACTGTGCATTGCCTGCAGCAGCTGAGAAGTGGCCCCTGGTGCCTGTTTCCAAGCAAGCAGAGTGCTCAGTTTTTTGGTTCTCCCTTCAGTTCAGCATCTGCACAGCAAGAAAGACAGCAATCAGTTCTCTATAGCTTGACAACAGAAATAATGAGCTGTGGCACTGAATTTCAAGCCCGTGAATGAACATGAGATGGCACAATGCCACTGGCCTGGAGCGCAGGGCCCTGAGCACCACCTGCCCCGGCAGAGCTGACCATCTGCGCTCTGCAGGAGCAGCTGAGGGGTTTGGACCTGCAGGTTAGTGACTTTCAGCAAAGCTGACATTCCAGCTGGCAGGTCCCAGAGAGCCCCACAGGGCTGGGGATCCTCTGAGGAGCACCACTGGCTGGTCTCCAGTGGGTCACTTCATGAGGCTTTCCTCTGAGATGGAATGAAGTCAAGCAACTCAGAATGCTGCTCAGGGGAGAGAGGAGAAATGGCCTTCTGGTCTCTTGCATCCCTTGGTCCTGGCTGTACCCTGCTTCCTTCCATGAAGTTTAGGGAGCTGTGGTTCCACTGTGCAGCAAAGCATCTGGCAGCTGCATCCTGTGTCCCAGGGGTGAGCCTTGGCTGGTGTCTCGTTTGTGACACTCTTTGAGACACCGAGGCGTGAAAAGCACCACAGTGGTTCCCGTGGCTGTTCTCCTCAGAGAGCCCCAGGCTGCCAGGGCTGGACTGGCCACAGCCTGAACATGTCACATTGTACTGGGTGCCCTCTTGGCCTCCCCACATTTTGCCAAATGTTGTGCAGAAGCAAGTGGCTCTTACTCAGCGGTTGGGAGGCCTGAGAAGTGGGTCTTTGTCTCAGGAGTGTCTTGGTGAGGGGACAAAGACCCTTCTGATAACTCGGTCAATGGCTCAGTGTTGGCTTCCAGAGCAGGTCCTGGGTACTGAGCAGGCTGGGTGGAAGGGAGGGTGTTTCATGTGGACTGAAGGAATTCACTGCTCAGCTTGGGAGTCAGCAGAATAATAATGCAAGCGAATCACTTACACCTTAATGAGATGCAAACCCCTCAATAATTAGCTGGGGTTGGGAGTTATTTATGTCTCTCTGCACACTCTTCTTGTGAGTCCACCCTGCTTGGTGCATAGCCTTCTCTGTGCAGCCTCACAGGCACTTTGAGTGCTGTTAGGGAATGTCTTTTTGATATGGTAACTTAAAATAAACCCTAAATCCCAGGGGATTTCTTAAGTGCTGTGTTTCCTTTGGTGCAGACTCACAGCCTTATGGAGGTGAGGAAAATTCCTAAGATACCATGAAGTTGAAATGGGTTTTAGCTTGTGATATCAGGCTGTTCAAGCCTCAGGCAAAAATACTAATTCAGCAGAGGAAATCTTTATTATTGCTGCCCTTTTGATGCCTGGGCTGCTGTACAGCATGTACAGTTGAAGGGACAGCCATCTGAGGGAATGCAAACAAGCAACTCTTCCTTTCATACAGAGAAGGTTTTCATGGGGTGGTGCCTTTGTTCTGGCAAGTCTTGATAGCACAGCAGATCTTGGGCTCCCAGAGCTGTCAGTCATGTGGAAAAAGCATCCCAGCTCTCTCCAGAGACCAAGGAGCCCTGTGTTACTGTAGACAGCTAGGACCTCTGCCAGGTGTGAACAGACCCTGTAGCTCAAACCCTTCATGTAAATCAGGATGCTTGAATTTGAGTTCCAAAAGAACTGCATCTGCTCCTCGTTGGCCCTTGGTGCTCTGTGGCTGAGGCACCAGAGATCTGTGCAGCCCTTGCTGCCCAGGGGCTGGAGGTGCCTGAGTCCTGGGGAAAAAATGTCCCTGTCAAGCAAATACCTGAAGATACCTGAGCCCATCTCTTGGTAGAAAATAAAAATTTTCCATATTTTGTAGTTGCTTTGGTCTGATACTGGTTGAATGAAACCTGGGTTGTTCTTGGCACTTCCCCACCAGGTTGTGGACACTTGGTTTTCTGTCTTCTTCTGATTGCCCAGGGTATATCCTTAACCATCAGTTAGCTCAGCAGGAAACTGCTAATTCCAAGTAACATCTTTAGCCAGGGGTAATCTCTGTTATCTGCTTCCTACTTCAGAACTACTAGATAAGTAACCAGGGTGTTGACATGCTGATGGGGCTGTATAGGTTCTCCCCAGGGGGAGGTCACAGGTGATGGATTTATTTACTGCTGCAGACACAGCTGACATCAGGCATTCATTCTGGGAGCTCTGAAATGAACCATTTGTGTGAAGGACATGGATTTTTGCCCTGGCCTTCTCCTTCCTTTGCTTCAATTCTTTATTTCTTCGGTTCTGGCTATACCTACACTCTGAATATCATAATGTCTTTAACATGTGGTTCCCAGTAGTAAACAAACAGTGTGTGTGCTGTGCAAAGAGCTCCCTGCTGGCTTTGTTGACCCTTGGGGTCCCAGATCTGTGCACCAGATTGTGTGGTCCTTATTTTGCCACAGCCAGGACTGGCCTCCCATAGCCTTGCCCAGGGGATGCAGCTTGGATCAAAGAGGTTTGCAAAGCATAATCTGCAACAAGTGAGCATAAAGAGGCCCTCTGACCATTCCCATCCTTGTCTGTGGCAGTCATTAAAGTGCCCTGGTGAGCTGATCGGTGTCTGAACAGTTGTGACCCCCCCCAGTTTGGAAAATCATACACAGCAGAGCCTCTTGTTTCCTCTGCAGTGGCAAGGGGAGACGCAGGAGTTCTGCCCCAACGCGAAGATTGTGCTGGTTGGCTGCAAGCTGGACATGAGGACAGACCTCAACACGCTCCGGGAGCTTTCCAAGCAGCGCCTCATCCCTGTGACACACGAGCAGGTGGGTTTGGGCAGGACTCCACGTGGATCAGGGAGGAGAGACAGGGGCTCCACGACCCACAGTACCCAGGTCTTGGTCTGCAGCAGGTTTGATTGTGGCTCAGGACCTCAGAGCTGCTCATGCTGACAGCACTCTTGTCCCCAACACTGGCAGACCCTAACTTATTCCCGATGCTCTGCTGAGCAGCCTCCTGCTTAGTAGCCAAAAAGTCATTCCTCAGAGAGGGTGGAGATGCCTGATTTGACAAGCTGGACTGGCTAGAGGGGAGTGTGAGCTTCTGCATCTCCTACTTCAGTGTAGCTCTTCCCCCAGTGACCCTCCTGCTCAGGTTCTGTGTTGAGGAAAAACTGCTGGGAGGGAGGAAGCTGGAGCTGGAAGGGCTGAGGGGCTGCTGCTGCTGGCCACCAGTGGACCCAGTGGTGTCTCCAGGCTGGCAACAGACCCGGTCTCTGTGGTGCAGGGGTGGCTGAGCCCTGGGCTGCTGTGCCTGGCTCTGTGCTGCACAGAGCAGGTGACTGTCCAGGTGAGAGGGATTGCCCAGGTGTCTCAGCTGCAGGGGTGGCATCGTGTGAATGAGAAAGTGCCAGTGACCCAGGGCCCAGTGCTTGGCAGCACTGTCTGCTCAGGAGGCCGCCCTCACCTCTGGAGCTCTCACAGAGGCTTGCACTGTGTTTACAGGTGCTGAGGAACCACTGTGAGAGCTGTGCTGGTGGTGCCACAGTGCTCTGGCAGGGTTGCCGGCCGTGAGGGAGGATGCTCCTTGCAGAGCACCCGTGTCTTAACCTTGCTTCCTCTTCCTCCTGCTCTCTCTGGACTGCAGGGCAGTGCGCTGGCACGGCAGATTGGGGCAGTGGCCTACGCAGAGTGCTCCTCCAAGGTCTCGGAGAACAGCGTGCGGGACGTGTTCCACGTGACCACTCTGGCCTCGGTCAACAGGGTGCACAAGAACTTGAAGCGCAGCAACTCCAAACGGGGACTGAAGCGGGTGTCACAGATGCCTGGCAGGACAGACTTACTGAGTGACACGGAGATCAGGAAAGACCGAGCCAAGAGCTGCTCCATCATGTGAAAAACAGGCTGTAAATCGTGTGTGTGTGTTGTCCGTTTTGTACAGGAACTGGCTGAGGCGAGGTGCTGGCTGCGGGAGCCAGCCTGCCTTTCCAAAGCCTTTTTCTCAGTCTCTAGGGCTGAGGAAAGGTCCCAGCTGCAAATGGGGGTGCACAAGTTGCCCTGCACTGTGGAGACTTCTGGGTTGGCTGCTGCTGTGCAGGTTGCTTGGGATGAAGGAAGCACTTGGCAGAGGAGTATTGAGGTGCTGGAAGGTCTGTGACTGGGAGAAACAAAGGGAAAGGGAGCGATGCTGTCTGTGTGCCACCTTCCTGTACCCACAGCCTGTAGCCACAACCCTGTGCCTTTGTGCAGCTGTACAGCACACACGGTGTGGGGTGAGGGCTGTGTGGGACCTGGGTTGGAGGGAGGAGGGGGGATTGCGACCCGGAGGAGGTGTTCTTCTGATCTTTCTTTAGAAGAGAAAGATGTTTGAGGTGGTGCTGCCCTCTGCGAGGCTGGACAGCAGGTGCCATGGAAGGTGCAGGACTGGGCCAGAGCTGGGAGGGAAAGCACCCTGGGAAGGCACCTTATCCTGATGAGACACCGTGGTAGTTGACCTCCTGTGAAGAAAGCAGACAGATGTCTCTTTACGTGGTATTTTAGATACCTGAACTCCATTTGAAATGCAGCAGAGTGGATCTGGCTCCAAGGGAGAGGTCTGTCCCAGTAGATGCATCCTGAAAATCCTGGTTCCCTTCAGCAAGCAAATGCCTCTTGGGAGCTTGTGTGTGAGCTGCTGCCACCTGGTTGCTCCCCAGGCTGCTCCCTGCGAGCAGACTGCAATAACTACCCATATCCTGCTCTCCACCCACTTCCAGCTGCAGATTGTGTTGCATGGTGCTGTATTTGTCTGGTATAGATGAGCAAACTGATTTTATGTGTATCTGCACGCTGTCTCTGCTGCGGCAGTGGGATGGAAGGTGCTTCCTGCCCTCATGCCTTGCTCTCCAGCCTCCTCCCAGCACCTCCCGTTGCTTCTGCCACTCCCTCCCTAAATGCCTTTGACAACAGTGTTAGCCTGGGCTTAATGTCACGTGGACACTTTAAGGAAAAGAAGAATCTGCTCTGTTGCCAGATCCAACTGTGTCTGTGGGCTACAGGAAACAAATAAACATCGTTGGAAAATGCATAATGCTCGACTCTGTTCATTTTTAATAGTCAAACCACGCACCCTCTCAAAATCTCTTACTACCTGACTTCTCTTTCTGTTCTAATGTCTCTCTCTAGGTCTTGAAATACGCTTGCAGTTCCCCTCAGTGAAAAACACAGAGGACTTAGCTGCATGTGTTCATTTTGGAGCTGAAACACCTGCCTTAAATAACCTCTCCCTCCATCCCTAATCCTTAAACACTGTGGAGCATTTGCAGGTTGTCTGTGCCTGATCCAGCAGTCTGAGCTGACACGAGCTGCCCCTGTCCTCACTGCAGCAACATCTTTTGACTCAATATTTTGTGTCTGCTCTTGCACCCAGGTCTTAGACTTCAGCTGCGTGGTGAAGGCTTTTTGGGGAATTGGAGCTGCTCAGTTACCAGAACAAGAAAAACTCCATCAGTGACTGGACACTGCTGTGCTGTGTGCAGGTTGCAAGAGCATGAAAATGCCCATCTGCAGTCTAGGGGAAGAGGAACTGAGCGAGGCAGTGTGCCAAGAAGAACCCTCAGCATCACAATGCTTTTTTTTTTCACTCTGCAGGGTTCCCAGAGCCTTTGTAAACTTCGTTGAGCAAAACCAGGTCCCTGCTTGGATGGTAGCAATTGGTGGCACACGAGTGTCATTGCCCACTCCTCACAACCTGTGTGCAGTTGTTGTCACCATCCTTGTGCCACACAGTTACTGTGTCTCCCTTCTTTCTGCAAAGGAGCAGCAGTATTTGGCAAGCACATCCCCTTATACCATGTTCTATCATCTTTTAAACTTTTGAATTTAATCTACAAAAGCAGTTCCTGAGTCACTGATTAGTTTAAACTCCCAGGTATTAATTTGTTAGCTTGCCCTATAAGCAAATCCTTAGTTCCCAGGATCTATCCTGAGGGGAATTTTCAATGCCCACTCCCACAAGATGCCCCCCAGCAAGGGAACCAGGACATGAAACTCCAAATTGCCTCTCTGAAGAGGCAGCTGCATTCTCCAGGGTCTTCCTTCTGCTTTCCATGCCCAAGTGACATCTCCCATGCACATTCAGCACTCAGCACTTTAGGTGAAGCTGCAGTGCCAGAAAAGCAGCTGGTGTTTGGGGTTACACAAAACCGACGGGGATCCTGAAAGCTTCTTGTTCTGATTTTGTGAATCTGTTTATTTTCTGTACTGCAGGGAAATGCCATTGCTACCCAGCCCCTGCCCCCCCCTCAGCACAGCTCTAACTAGCTGGAAACCCACGGTATGAAAATAATGATGCTGGAATGAAAGTAATTTGTGCCCAGCTGCTTCTAGAACAGCCAAAAAAAGGTGAAAAATCAAAAATGTGTAGCCGCCAAAAAAAAATGTGCATTTTGCCAGAGTGAGCAGGACCAGAGCCAGACTCAGACCTGGCCAGAGCAGAGCTGGACACAGAAACGTGAACCTCATGGGAAGATAATGAAAGCCAAAATGCAGATGCTGCCACAGCTGGGCTGAACCCAAAACATGCATCTGCCACACTTGTATACAACCCAGACATTGACTGTTTGAAGCCTTTGAAGGTTTGGACTTGTGGCTTCAGACTGGGATTGAATTCTGGGCTAATGAGTATCCCCATCCCCTTCTCTGCCCCTCCTCAGAGGGCTATAAGGCTGTTCTCTGTAGCCACAATTCAGCAAGCAGCTTAATATTCTGGCACTTGCTTCTCCACTAGATTGCTTGTCTAAAAAAGAGTGTTTGGATTCCCACAGTAGCTCATTTAACCAGAGTTTTCAAAGGAGTCCCTTTCCTTCACTATCCTTTTCTACAGAGGAATAAACAAGACAAAACAGGAAGCAAAATCAAAAGAAGAATAGAAAAGGCAAAGAAAAAGAAAAATGTCTGAAGGAGTAAAGGAGAGCCACAGCCACAGAACAGACGAAATAAACCCATTGTTGGGTCCCTTCTCCTCCAAACCAAGCCAGAATCTGCAGGGAGCAGTTTGGGAGTCTTTTATATGGGAGTAGATAGAAAAGTAGTCAATGAAAGTGTTGGGATTTTCCCCTTTTATCATGAAAACTGTTCCAAAGAATCTGCTGAAGTTAATGACAGATAATTTGGGATAAAAAAAAGCAGTGGTCCATGGGTGTGTGGGATGCAGCCACAGCCCTCACTCCTGAGCATCAGAGTTTCTGTTAAGAAGCACCAGGCAACCCAGTGGTGGCATTTGGGGGCTCCCACTGGATCCCACAGTGCAGGATTGTGACAGTTTCTGCAGCCAGGAAAAACACTCATGGGCCCAACCTCAGCACTCTCTGCCACACAGAGGCAGGGAAGGCACTCCTCATTACCTCATTGCCTCATCCCACCCTCCTCCATGTGCCAAGGGAGGGTCCAACCCCTGTGAAGAGGGCAGGAACTGACCTGACTGCAAGTGGGAGACTTCACAGTCAGCTGGGGATGGGGTTTGCTTGGGAGACTGGAAGCTCTGGATCCCTGAAAATCATCAACAGAGGGAATGAGGCTCCCTGAAAGAATGACTCAAATAGCCAAAGTCAGCTGCTGGTCTCAGATCCAGCCTAGAGACCCCTTGGTCAGCTGGGAGTGCAGGACCTGGTGAGAGCTGGCTCTGGCTTGTGTGGGGTGAACTCCCTGCTCCCTCCCAGCTCCACACTGGGCCTGCCTTGCTGTGGTGCCAACTTTGGGCTCACAGGGGCAGGATGGAGGAGCTGCTGCAGAGCACCCACGGGCTCTCCTCAGCAGATGAGTCAACACAGGAAAGAGAGAAACAAAAACAAGCAGATGAAGTAGTGGAACTGACACATGAAAGACGAGTAAGGAGGACTTGATGCCCCTAATTAGTGCCTGCAGAAAAACTGATGAGCCACACTGCCAGTGCAGGTGTCCCACCAAAAAAAGCATTGCCTACCCATGGGGTGGGCTGAGCAGCTCACTGCCAGGGACAGCAACCACTTCAGTCTGGGTCTCAGCAGAAATTGTTCTGCTCCCAAGAGTGGTGACTTGCTGATATTCTTCCAGCCCAGATCTCTCTGCAGCAGCTGCTCTGCAAGGCTCTGTGTGCCTCTGGCACCAAGTCACCAGCTCTGCAAGGGTCCTTCCACTAAAAATGCTAATGGGAGACAACTAATCAATATATGTGAGATGGCAAGAACTATAATAAAACCCTATAGTGATTCCAAGTTGGGCTTTATGTATTTATTAATGGACACCTTCCAAATCAAGATAATGTTACAGTGACAATTACCTGTCAGCAATCCCATCTGTACTAATTGTTCTGGTATTTAGTGTAATAGCATTGAATATAATGAAGTTAAATTATTGAAAAGAAATATATAAAGCCTTTATTAATAATTAATGACATCTTTCTGGTGTATTATTTTAGTAAAATTCCATGACCTGTAAGATTAGCAATCAGAGGACCCAAGGGAAAAGGAAGGAGAATGGGTGATCAAATAGAAAGAAATCAAAAGCAGCTGAAGAGTTCATTTCTTCTGTTTCAATTCAGTTCTGTCAAGCTCAAGAACTGCAGTTGGGCATTAAGTCTTTCCAGACTGGACCACTGAATTAAGGCCCTGTTGTGTTGGAAGGGGGTTACAGCTGCTCAGAGGCAGCACACCTGACATCTGTTTGAATATAAAATGTCTTTGCTTTCTGACAGGGAAGTGAAACTCCCATTATTAAGCACAGGACCAGTTTCACCTGTTAAATGCTCAGAGGAAATCAGGGCTTGACCTCTGGGAGGTGCTGAGGGAGGAAGGAAACCTGGGAGCAGGTGGTGGGGCTGCAATCTGTGTGTGCAGGTGGATGGGAAGAGGCAAATGCAAGAATCCAGCACTGCTCCCAGCTCTAAATCATGGCAAATATATAACACCAGAGAGACCTGCCCAGCTCAGTGTGAATCTGAGGCCAGAAGCACAGAGGAGACACTGGGGCTCCTGGCAACAGCCCTGCTTTGTTTTTCAGTGACAAGTGAAAAAGTGATAAAGTTCTTTCCTCTGTTTTACCAATGTTGCAATCAAGTGCTCAAACACCCTAGGTAAGAAATGGCAAAGAACCACTAAACTAAGGTGAAACTGAGCTGCAAATGAACCACATGACGTTTCCATGTGTTTACTCTGACCCCAGATGATTTCTACAACTGTAAATTAATCATCTTATTTCGTTTAATCAATCAACCCATTGTAATCAATTGAAATGCATATATGCAAAATGGCAAATGCTCCTCTCAGAAAGGGCCTTGAGGGAACGTGCATGGCAG